GGTAAGATCCACTCCTTCCACGTCCACCTCTTCCTCCTCCATTTCTGCCTCTACCTCGGCCCCTTCCACGTGAGCCACCAAATCCACCACGATTGGATTTGGACTTTGAGTCACCTTCATTCTTTTTCTTATTTCTTTCAGACCACTCTTTATGAGTTAAGAGTAATTTTCGATCATCAGTGTCACTTCTTCCCTTCATTCTTTCTTCATGAGCTTTTAGTCTTCCAACTACTTCTTCTACTGTCATGCTGTCCAGGTCTCCAAACTGCTCAAGGGCTGAAGCGATTTGAAGAAACTTATCTGGAACTGCCCTTAATAGTTTCTTCACTACGTAGGACTCATCAACGTTATCCCCCAAAGCCCGCATGGTGCTCACAATATTGCTCACTTTCACAGCGAACTCATCAAGCCCTTCAGACTCCTTCATGTTTAGTGATTCAAACTCAGCTTTCAAGGTTTGAATTTTCGCTGTTTTGACTCTTTCTTCCCCCGTAAACATGGTCTTTAAGGCTTCCCATGCATCTTTGGCTGTTTTCTTTTCAGCCAAGGACAATAGCAAGTCTTCAGGTATACCTTGGTAAATGGCTGCCAAAGCCATCTTGTCTTTCTTCACTTCGACAAGAGTGTTGAAGTTCTGGGCTCTACTGCATCCCACACACCTTGGGCCTGCATAAACACTCTCATCTTGATCGCCCAGGCAGCATAGTTGGTTCTTGAGAGCATCGGATAGTGAAGAGTGATCTGACCTTCTTTATCGCCATTGTCGTTGTTGCCTGTCATCTCTGCTCGAGACTGATACTTGGGCATGCACCAAGTTATGCTCTGATACCACAGTGTTGGTTTTTCACAAACCTTGCAATGAACAATTAAAGAAGAAAAACAGAGTAATGGGGCAAAATGTATTCGTATATAGTCAGTAGTGGGGGATCACATTACAACGTACATTGTGCCTTGGTATTTAAAGAAAAAAATTGCTGAAAATCAGGAACCTACCACTTACTTCCTAAAGACCAGGTTCATCACGATGGCCTTGATTTATTCTTCCTATGACTTAATCAAATAGAACGTGCATAAAGAAAATAATTAAAATTCTCTGAATTACTTCTACAATGTTATCAGTTAATTCTCAACATAACTATTGTACACATGTAGAATCAATGTCATGTAGATCTAAAAAAACTAACATCGATCAATGTAAAAAGATGAAACGATACCTGCAAACAGCTGTACAGTTCAATAGACTTTCTCTGTTTAGAAGTGCGAAGATCCTGGTTAAACAAAGGTCATCCATCCTCGCGGAGTGGTCTGAAATCAAACCGTAAACGTTTCATCATCGAGACTCAACACCGACACAGACACATAACGATAAACACACTTACCGATCAAGTTCTCTCTCTCAAGCCACCTGCTGTGTGCAACCATCTGGATCTGTAGCCGTCGAACTTGGCGACTGCACTACGTCACCAAGTCATGTATCATCATTTGTTGATTGCTGCCTTCAACATTTAAAATCCGGAGACTCTCATTCAGATATCGGTTTGCTGCTTCGTATGACTTCGTTGTTCGAATACTAACATATATACATTTAGATTAGAATTTAATCAAATCTCAAAATAAACAGAATGAATCCGAGATCACTAGAAGCTTAGTTACCTCGGAACGTTCTCAAAAACGCTGAAAATATCACCTACAAGTTCGTTTTTCACTCTCCAATGAAGTCTTCCGTACTCGTCAGTCAAATGACCGAGCAGCCTGCAAACGGCGGGAAACTTCTCCTCCTCGAATCGCTCGCGGATTTTCAATGCGATAACAGTATAGCGACCTACCGCAGCTGCCATGGAAGAAGAAAAGAGTATGAGGAGATAGTGATCTAGAGAGAGAATGAGTTGTTAACCGCCGATACACTCTCCGATTTGCGTGAGGTTTTATTATTATTACTATATGTTTTTACCTTGTATGAATATAAGTTTGTAGTAGACTAGTAGCAAGAATATTGTAAATTTCGGACAAACTACACTCCCTGTAGTTTGCTACCTTATGCAAGTTTGGTCCCTCATATTATTTTTTTCACTCAGAAATTCCTTGCCATACATGAAAGGGATATGAAACTTTTTGGTTTTAAATAAATGGTCCTTTTAATTAAATATATTTAATTTATATTTGATAATTACTTAATAATAATAACAGGAAATCAGTACGAACAAACAGTTTATATCAATTAGGAACCAAATTTGAAATAAAATCAAACTATGTAGACCATTTGTGTAATTTGTCCAAAACTTTATCATGAATTAATTAATTGTTATGTTATGTACATGCATGCTCTACGCACCTCGGACATGCATTATATACTTATATAATTCCACAAATAATTTTAAAAATTAAAAAGGTGTTTTTTTCTTTATTCATTTTAAATGAATTAAGAATCTCTTTTACTCGAATATATATATTTGCATATTGTATACTTAATTTTTTATGTACAAAAAACAATAATTTCCATATCAATATGTTAAAAACAGATGCAATGTTATCTTACTTGAATTAGTTGAGTCCAAATCTGTTTTTAACTAGCAACTAGTTCAATTTTTTTATTAAAATTATAGTATTGATTAACAAATTTCAGTTTTTATATAGCAAGTCTAAAAAAACGCACTACGAAGGGAATCATGGACTACAAGTCCATATCAAAATCAACTAGTGACCACTCCACAAGTCCACAAATTATCAAAAGGTCTTATGCCAAATATTTTCTTTTTCTTATTTTTTATTGAAAGCTAAACCCCCAAAAAATAGGCGCACAACTTAATAATCTCACGCACATGCATGCATAATTGCATATAACTCTCAGTTAAGCATATTAATTAACTATTTTAAAGTACTAGTTCATCATTTAGCATTTAATTGGATGCATACCTTTTTCAAAATGACCAATGACCGAAATTTTTGTTGCATTAATTCTTCCTGCCAAACAAACAAACATAAGTAATTAAGAAAAAAAATATTTACGGAATTAATGGAAACAAAGAGAAAAGAAAACTTGAGACTCTAGTCATCAGTCATCTACATCAGACACGGAGAAGGAAAGATAGTAAAAAAAAAAAAATTAAAATTTGATTGATCATATGTATAATTCAATTAATTACTTTTAATAACCGATGGATATACTCAATATAGTGACATGCATAGAATCATTATTATATTGACACGTACGGCAATTAAATTGGTTTAGGAACACCAAATATATGGTTAATTAGTAACAAAAAATGTATTTTTAGAGGTTGGTGCTAAATAAACTCTTGATAAGGAGTTTAAATTCGATTGTTTATTTGTAATGGATTAAATTTAAATAAAAAGTCTAATCAGTCAATATTAAATTTATCTAACTATTGTACTTCAATAGCTTTATGTAATTATAATGTTATTTCATGTAAAGTATTAATAATGCTTTACTTAAAGATACATTTTTGGTAAAAGAAGAAAAACCGATACTTATTTTTTTTGAACAACAAACAATAACGTTTAGAGATCCATTAACGAAATGCATATTAAGGTTGTATGTATTAATTTGTTTTGTATACTTAAAAATAAATTTTCTTAATTAATTTTAAAGCTGATTTTGTTAATTATGTATGATTATTTTTCTTACTAATAATATTATTAACATATTATTTTAATTAACATCGTCACCGATATAGTCGATCGATATTATAAAGAGTGTTACACTTCTATTAGTATCGTTTCTCTTATTATTCAATGATATATTAGATGTTTTGTTATTTTTTTATATTAATATTGTAATTAGTTTATTAAAATAAAATACATATCAATAATACTTAATACTAATATTGTTTTAAAGGTATTTACAAGATTATTTAAATCAAGTAGTTTGTTATCAACAAAATAATTCACATTTAATTAAATAATTTTCAAATATATTAAAAATATAACTATAATATATAAATTACAAGAAATAATAAATAAAATTTAAAAAGTTTATATTTTTAAAAGGGTACAGGTTATTAATATAGTTTTCACTGATTCTAATTAATTGGACTCATGAAAAAACAAGTAATATGTATCACAACATTGACATATATATCCGAGGGGCCGGCTCTAAACTTGCCATTTTTAACTGAAAAAGAATGGATTAATTTCATAAAAAAAAATGTATGTATGATTAAAGACATTAAAAAATAACGTTAATTCTGAAAAATATTAACAATAATAATAATAAACAAAAAATATTCAAAAAACAATAATAAAATTCTTGAACATAATAACTCATATGTTGATTTGATATCTATGTGAAAAGAGTACTTTGGGGGTTTATTTAAGAGTGTAGGTCCATCACCATTAAGGTTGGGTCCTATTGGAGTCTGATATTATCCTTGAGACTCGTGAGTCATCTACGTGACACTCGGAAGGAAGCAAAGAATTACAAAAAACTGGTCACCTTGCTTTGGACTAGTTTCAACATGACCTTGAGACACCACCATAAGTCCATAACTTTACTTTCAATTTCGTTTGTATTTTTTTCAAAATTTTTAACAATAAAGTTAGTGGTTAGAAATATAACGAAATTGTTCGGTATAAATTAAAACTCAAACCTCCCATCTAAAAGGCTAGTCCCAAGTTGGCCTATTCTTTCAAATTAACTCCATAATCTCTCGTTCTCCCTGTTAATTTTTTTTTGGAAAGGGAACTTTCCTAACGAGGGTTTCCGGGCCAGCTTTCGCGCACCGACTAATCCCCCGCTGCAAACATGAGGCTTTGCCTCATGCCCTGGAGTCACTGCAGACGAACCTCCATGGCCACAAGGGCTGAGTGGTGCCAGGATTTGAACATGTGTCAATAGGTTATCCACCATATCTTTCACATGTCTTACCAAGTCACACACGGACACGGCACAATCAATGGTCTAAGTAATTTAAAAACTCATGGCGATAAAGAAGTATATCTTAACAATCATGTGCCATATATCTTCCTCAAATTAGTGCTTCTTAATTAGATAAAAATTCCCTGTATATTAAGAAAAATTAACCACATATATAACTAATATATTCTTATAGAAACGTAAAAAATAATAACCTTACACTTTCGTAAACTTAATGAATCCAATCCATATATACGTACCTTTTGATATATGAAACTTCCTCTTTGAGATGAATATTAAGTTCTTTTGACATGATCGGATCTTGGATAGGAGAATCAATGGGCTTCCAACCAGGCGTTTGAGTCCAGAAAGGATCACTAACTCCGGTGTCTTTCCTAATTTTAAGAAGATCAGCACTTTCAAGCCAATATTCCATTGCTCCGACAGCGTTGTGTGACCTTCGAAACCTCAAATCGCCACCTGGCGCCACCTTGTTAGCTAGTTGTTTCAGGAGGTGGTCTAAGAGACCAGTGTCCCTATCAGAAGACTGAGCTCCGCCGCCAGATAACTCTCCTTTGACCACCTTTATGTGGGATCTTTAATGAGCGCTAATTTCTTGCATTTGTTCATGGGTTTTTTTATTGATTAGCCATAACTGGTTGTTCGCTTGTTTCACACGCTTTCTTTTTCTCAAATTTCTTGTTTTTTTCAACCTTTCTGTTAAGATCATCATCATCTTCATCACCCTTCTCTTCGTCGTCATCAACTTCCTCCCCTCCTCCTCTTCCTCATATCCACCATTGTTAACATCTTGTCGATCCTTCATTTCTTCATCTCCATGAACACATACGTAGCTTGAAGAAACTGCGTCGTGTTGCTCAAATCTTTGGGTACGTCTACCAATAAACATAACTTGTCTTCTTACACCCCACCTTAATTACCAAAGCATTGTTCTTCAGTTCCTTTGCCAATCCGATCTCTTCAATCTTCATAGCAGCATGACCCAACCCGACTTGAGAGTTTGGGTTCACCAGCCAGAAATTCTGCAGATGCTTCTTCTCGTCGAATTCTTGAGATGGAACTTGCCGAAAAAGCACTTTGCCGGCCAGTTTTACTCCCATTACGAACTTCTCATCTAATGCAGGATACATCTCCGTGATTCCATGACTGAAATAAGTTCGTAATGACAGAATGCTCGGATATCTGAAAATAATCATTATCCATCAGTCAGACGAAAACATATTCAGATCTAATCAATAAAACAGTTTTTTGTCACTGATTCACGAAGTGATTGATTACCATGAAAACGCGAACGGTTCTCAGTTGAAGAGGAGTTCTAGGAGGAAGGCTTTTGTGGTACGTAGATCTCGTAAATGAAGCCTGGTTGGACCTCTTCTTCTAGGATTTCGTCTGCTTTACACATGAAATTACGAGAAGCCATTATAGATAATCGAGAAAGGAAGAATTGAAAGGAAATAGTTTGGATCTAGAAGTATTATATGCTAAAAGGATAATTTTGAAATTATACCATTCCTTTGAAGCAGGAATTGCCTGGCCAAAGGTGATGTCTGTGTGCTTGTGCGCCGTCTAGTACGCTGGTTATTTCTTGCCTTTTCAAGCTCATTATCTCCTGCATCCATTAATGCTTTTTAGTACATCTCTAGTCAGTGATAAAGGACGATAGAGAGGAAAAAAAACAATACGGATTTCAGAAACAGAAAAGGCGAAATTCTGATTGTAATACATGCAATGCCATGCCCTAATGGCATCATCACAGGTTCTCTCTCTCACACACACAAGAGAGGGAGAGAGAGAACTTACGTTGTTCGCGCTAATGGTGGTTTTTTTTATCGTTTCCGATGGTAAGTTTCCATTTTCACGGTGAAGCTGTAAAAATTTTACTCAAGAATAAACGGGCGATGTTGCTAAATGCTAACATTACATAGTACACAATAGATATTCAACAGAAAATAATAAGCAGGAAAAACAAAAGGAATCAAGTGTTAAATGGTATGCATGATTGACTAAAAGATGAAGTTAGAAAAAGCAGTAATTAGAGCATTATTTAAGAAGCTCATGACTTCCGTGGATTTAAATGAAAACAGAACAATTACAATTAGCTACAGTTAATAGATTACCTTTTAAATCGCAGCAACTTTATCGATCGAAATTAATACTTGTTCTTCAGGGGAAAATATTCATGGTTGAAGAATTGAAGAGAAATGGATTGGGGGTTACTTAAGTCGCCATGATCATAAAGATGAAGGTTCTGCGTATCTTTTCTCAGATGCTTCTAGGGAGAGAAAGAGTAAGAGAGAGAATACGCATTCCGTTAGAAAATATTGGAGAGAGAAAGTGAGAAGCATACGTACCGCACCTCACGTGTTCTTGCAACGGAAGGCCACATTTAAATTTACAGATACTCCCCTTCCCGCTATTATTGCATTTTTTGGCAAGCGGGTGATCTTTTTAGTTCTACATCAATGTACAAATCGAATAAGGTTTAAATCTTTAGAGCATTGGATTTGACATCTGTGGTTTTATAAATGATTGATGTGTTGATGTATTAAATATTTTTAAAATTTTATATTATTAAACAGTATATCTTTTTAAAAAATAAAGAGATTTATAGAATTATATAAAATTGAACATTACTTTTAGATGACTCTTTTATTTAAGAAAAATGACACAAAGAGGTTATAAAGGATCGATTGTTCCAATTGTGTTCAATAGCTTATGAGACAACTTCATTTTTCATTGCAATGTTAGCAACATCACCGGTTTTCTAGGGTTTCAGTCAATGTGGATGTTATGTGGCTTTATAACTTTAATTTGTAACCACTATGAGACGTATGAGAGAATTAAAGAGGTCAAAACATCAATTAAATTCAAAACCCTAAAGTTCGTTTGTAAAATCCAAAACCCCTTTGCATGTACGCTCGTACGTCTGCATGTTTAAGGTCAAATGTAGAGTGAAAAATGATTTGTAACAAGATATTGGCATTCGTATGTACGATACATGACACATATATTATATATACAAGACAAATACATGGATTAATTTGGACTAATTAGATAAGTATTATCTAGAGTTATTAATAACCAACAATGATGATGTTACGAGTGACTCATGGACGACAGTGCTACAAGCAAACCTTTTAAAATCCTCTAACCCTCGTTAGAAAATTTCAAATTCATAATTCCTGAAAATAAAATAATAAAGATACATGAATATAACTCAACGCATTTTAGAAGAGCGATTGTTTGGATAACTCATTAATTAAGATCAAAATTAATTGAAGCAATGACATATGATCACTCGTAATCCATTATATTGGTGACTTAGAAGACTCGAGACTGTTTGGTATAATGAAATAAGAGGAAAGAAATGATTTATTGTATTATAAAGGAGAAGAAAAAAATGTTATTTGTTTTGTTTAGGAGTAGAACATCCGAATGGCCATTTCGAAACCTTTCATCATGTTAATTTCTTAGAGAAGAATTGCAATGAAATCAATTTTTCTAAATGCAACTTACTATGAGCCAATTTTTTTTTTTATTTTATTGAAAATGACATGTTAGCTCTACAATTTTTTTGTATTTGTTTTAAGATGGCCTTAATGTCTTTTTTATAGTCTAGGGGCTTAAACTCAATTTTTGTGGGTTAAGAATGTCCTTATCGGAAAAGTGAAGGGATAACCCGGTTACTCTTGAATAAAAGTTAATGTTCATAGCTTTCATTTGTCTTTCACTATGACAATAAATGTTGACGAGAGCAAATTATAGAATATAATTGTTGTAGATAATTTCAAGTTCCTTTAGAATAGGCTGTACATTTGGTGAGTTTGTTACTTTCTTTCATGTATAAATGTAATGTACCTGTGATTGATGAAATATAGAAAACGAAAGATTCTTCCTCCAAATCTTGAATTCTTATTTCTATATGGTATCAGAGCATACCAATCACAGCTAAAAGAAAAAAATCTCGAACCCATTGATCGATGGGAACCGAAGGAGGATCAAGCGGAGCTTCAAACCATTCATATGGCATTATACAGAACGTACAAGATGCTACGTTTCCCACTAGAGTCATTCTGGATGATACAAATTACCCTTTGTGGTCCAACTTATGGAGATGCGAATTGGTGCAAGAAACAAATCCGGATTTATCACCGGTAA